ATGGCTAATAAATTCTCAGATTTTACTCGCCACTGTGTGAGTTGGAGGCTGAGTATAAGTTTAGCACAGATATATTTTCACTTGGCGAACACTCTGACTGAGCGCTTCAGAGTTTCACTCTCTCTGTGTTTTTTTTTCAGTTCATCTGAATGGATGCGCAGCACACCTGTATTTGATGTACCGTGAACTCTAGTGTAACGGCACACAACTCGCTGTCGCTTTGGTGAGAGCAGAGAGAGCGATATTACGGTGGCCGAGAGAGCTCAACGCGCTACAAATTCCGAAAACACATGCAAATAGAAAAAGCACCAGCAAATTAAGAAAACATCTTCATCAGTTTGACGGCACATGTGTTGCAAATACTCGCAACACAATCAAATACAAAAACACGCCGCAAATGCTCACAACACAACCAAATAAAGAAACGTGCTGCAAATGCTCTCAACACAACCAAATAAAGAAACGCGCTGCAAATGCTCACAACACAACCAAATACAAAAACGCAAGTACAGACCACAACGGGAGGACCCAAACAAAACGAATTTGTATTGATTACCATTTGTATAACCACAGTAACATGGTTAAACTATGGTTAGTGTAGTAAATCCATGGTTAATTTGTGGTTACCATGGTTTAACTCTAGTAACCATGTTTTTTTTTTTTTGTTTTATTTGTAGTAAAACCATGGTTAATATTTGTAAACACGAGTACGACCTGATAACTTCATGAATATGATAATTAAGCATATATAAAGTTGAATTGTTATATAAAGTTATAATCTATGTTTATTAAAAACAAGTTTTGTAATAACGATTATTTCGGACCTTTTTGACATTGATGATAATTCAGATTGGGACCTTTGAATGTAAACTTTGAGAACACCTGCATTATATGTTTTGCCCCCAAAATGTAAATTAAATTTGAGGTGTTTTTTCCTCCTTAAATGTGAGCTCCATATTCTCACTGTATCATAGTGGATGAGCCATACAAGCTTTTACTTTTTGTATGCAAAGAAAACAAAAATAACGACTTTATTCAACAATGGTTTAACTATAGTAACCATTTTTTGTTTTTATTTATTTTTTGAATAAATAAATATATCATAGAAACTTAATTTTCTGTAAAGCTGCTTTGCAATGATTTGTATCGTGAAAAGCGCTATACAAATAAACTTGAATTGAATTTTACATAATAAATGTATTTATTAATGAATTAATTTTAATAGTAAAACCATATGGTTAATTTTTGTAAGGGAAGTTGTAAAGTAAGTTAGCCAGCTTACAGTAATTGTGTATTTCGTCAGCTTATTTAGGCTAATAATAATTTTAAAAAAAAGAAGCAAAGGAATCGTATGATCAGGATGTTAAAATAAACAAAAATATCACCTTTCAGAGCAAACATTGACAAATATGTTCCAGCCATGTTCGTCACTTTGCGGTTCCCTTAAACATTTCCGATGTGGTCTGTGCCTATTTGCAGCGCGTTTCTTTATTTGCTTGTGTTGTGAGCATTTGCAGCGCGTTTCTGTTTTTGCGGCGCATTTCTTTATTTGCTTGTGTTGTGAGCATTTGCAGCGCGTTTCTTTATTTGTAAATAAATATATCATAGAAACTTAATTTTCTGTAAAGCTGCTTTGCAATGATTTGTATCGTGAAAAGCGCTATACAAATAAACTTGAATTGAATTTTACATAATAAATGTATTTATTAATGAATTAATTTTAATAGTAAAACCATATGGTTAATTTTTGTAAGGGAAGTTGTAAAGTAAGTTAGCCAGCTTCCATGCTTTCACAGTTACAGTAATTGTGTATTTCGTCAGCTTATTTAGGCTAATAATAATTTTAAAAAAAAGAAGCAAAGGAATCGTATGATCAGGATGTTAAAATAAACAAAAATATCACCTTTCAGAGCAAACATTGACAAATATGTTCCAGCCATGTTCGTCACTTTGCGGTTCCCTTAAACATTTCCGATGTGGTCTGTGCCTATTTGCAGCGCGTTTCTTTATTTGGTTGTGTTGTGAACATTTGCAGTGCGTTTCTTTATTTGGTTGTGTTGCGAGCATTTGCAGCGCATGTGTTGTCAAATTGATGTAGGCCTAGATGTTTTCTTAATTTGCAGGTGTTTTTTCATTTGCAACGCATTGAGCTCTCTCGGCCACCGTACGAGATAGTCTTACTGTTACGGGGTGAACGAGCCGAGAGACGTGCGGATCCATATGCAAAGCTTATTTATTAAAGACGTGGTCAAAAACAGGCATGGGTCGACAACAACAACAGGTATAGCGTAGGCAAGACAAAGAGTAATCCAAGGACAGACATGATCAATCTCCGGCGAACAATATCCAACAGGGCAAGGCAAAGAGAGATAATCCAGGTACACAGCAATAGTCCAGGCAGGGGTAAACAGAGTCCGAACAAGGCGAGATGAGAGGGTAATCCGAAATACACAGGCAAGAATCTGAACACGGGAAAACTGGCAAGGCAAGACTATGACTAGACTATGTAAACTATAGGGCAGGCTCCGTAAAGTAGCTATCAGCTAAAACAGTGATAAACGCTGAACAATACTCGGCCGTCTGCAATGGTTTGAGTGTGGCTTATGTAGTGTGTGTGATTGGCTTCAGGTGAGCTTGTGATTAGTGCAATGGAGCATGGGAAATGTAGTCCAGGGTGACGTGTAACAGTTTGTGTAGTGTGAGAGTCAATGTAATTGGAAAGGGTGACCTCTGGTGGCAATCAGAACGGAAGTCCAATGGACAGGATTCGTGACACTTACATACGTCATGTATGACACTTACATACGTCATGACAATTCCCCTTGTCATGCAGAATTGACGCGCTACATGTAAACGATATTCTTTGTTGTATTTTCTTGTTGTATTGTTGTCAAAATAACAGAGTTCCTTTGGATTTTTTCAGCTTTTAAGAACTGCCGGGTTCCCCGGTAGTGGGCGGAACTAATGCGCAAACGACAATCTCATTGGCTGGTGCTCCCCTATTATCGTCCCTGTTTTGATTTCAGTGAATCAGTTCGAGCGAATGCACACAACCTGATTAATATTCATGAATCCAGCAGCTCGTTAATCCTTAGTGCGTTTTATACTGTTCGTATTAGTAGAATTCGTATTATTATTATTATTATTATTATTAGAATTATTGTTCGTTTTTTCCCATTTTTTTTACAGTAACCAATGGCGATTCAATTGCCAAGGTGTCCGTAGAGGGTTGAATATATAATGTTACAATTTAAAATAGCTGTTTGCTATGTGAATATGTTGAAATGTAATTTATTCCTGTGGTGGCAAAGCTGATTTTTCAGCAGTTATTAATCCAGTCTTCAGTATCACATGATCCTTCAGAAATTATTCAAATATGCTGATTTGTTGCTCAAGAAACATTTTTTTGTTGTGTATTAGTAGAATTCGTATTATTATTATTATTATTATTATTAGAATTATTGTTCGTTTTTTCCCATTTTTTTTACAGAAACACTGAATGACCAAAAAAGCACCACCACCAGTCCGAAGTTCAGTTAAATGTCTATGCATCATTCATAAATGGTTATCAAGTTTTAATTCTAATGACTAAAGTTCTATCATTAAATAATATTGATTATCATATTATAATGCTTGACTGAAAATCATTCTAAAATGCTGATTTGCTGCTCAAGAAACATTTCTGATTATTATCAATGTTGAAAACAGTGCTGCTTCATATTTTTTGTTGAAAATGTGATACATTACCATTCAGTCTGGGGTAACATTTAAAAAATAAATTAAAACTTTTATTCAACAAGTGACAGTAAAGAGATTTATTAGTTATTACAAATTATTTATATTCTTTGTATTCATCAAATAATCCTGAAAAAGTTAAAGTATCTCAGTTTCCAAAAAAAAAAAACATTAATAATTGAGCACAAATAATAACTGACAATAATTAAGCAGCAAATCAGCATATTAGAATGATTTCTGAAGGATGATGTGACACTGAAGACTGGAGTATACTGAAAATTCAGCTTTGATCACAGAAATAAATTACATTTTAAAATATCTTAAATAAAAGCACTATTTTAAATGTAATATTTCATAATATTAGTGTTTTTACTGTATTTTTGATCAAATAAATTCAGCCTTATTTAAAAAAAATAAATAAATACAAGCCTTAATTATTTAAAACTTTCTATCACCAGTGTGTATATAAAATAATGCATGTGAACTATTTAGCATATTATATTTTTATTATAATATATCCTAATCACAGCAATTGAAAACGAAATGTTCTATGAAACATTTTCTTAGACATGTGAAATTACGGAAGAAAGCCTGGATAGAGATATACAAGCATTCGCTCTTATCTTATGTCTGCTGAAAACTGCTACGTCAATGTTTCTATGTAGGCTACATTGTGGCAAATAACGTAAATGACATTAAAATCAGAGTAATTCGAACCGTTTGGTAAATATTGCTGAATTGTTTAGCTGCTTACATCTTACCTCATGCTCGCATTAAAGTGCTGCGCAGCTCAGCTTCTGTGAACAGTAAATCCCGCCTTCTTTGATTTGATTGATTTATTTCAAACATTTTGACACTGACGAGCGCTTTTGAACTTCTGCACTGAGCCAGAGCACGCTAAATTAATTTGAATGTTTGACTCATGGGGGCCACGCGGGTCATTCTTCTGGGCCGATGGAAGGATATAGGCTATGTACATTTACTATCATTCATCCTTTATATATTTACGCAATGTACAGTGGCCCACCGGGAAAACTCCCGGTGCTCCAGATGGCTAGTCCGCCACTGCTTGAATCTTATTGGTTGGTTAGTAGTGTTCCAAGAGTAAGTTATGGCAGTATGTCAGAACAGCTGTGATTCGGCCGCAATATCTGGTGATGTGAGGAGAAAAACAATATTTGTATGATTGAAGTTTTCATGCGAGTTGTTTTAAAAATGTATCCAGATCAACATCTATCTGACACAATGTCCCACTCCTTCCCTAGAGTGTTGTGTCCAAGTATGGCTCTCAGTTCAAGGGGAATGCTCAACACGACGCTTTGGAGTTCCTTCTGTGGCTCCTGGACTGTGTGCATGAGGATGCCAGCCTCTCCACCAACAACAACTACAGCAGCAAAACCAAATCATCCAGCAAGGTAACACATCTTCTGTCCTTCTAAACGCTCTTCAAAATATTTTCAAAGTCAACTAATTGTTGGGACAATGCAGTGACCAAAAACACCTAGGCCTACAGCCATACACAGTGAGCTTTACTGTTCAAACTGTCTAACAGCAATGCAATATAGTATGTGGGAAAACAGTAAGGCAAAAGAGTGTCTAAATGTCTAAATTCACAGTAATTAGAAACCGTAGGCAAAAAGTACCCGGATGACCTACTACATCCCCTGATATTCTAGAGTGCACATTCAATCGACAATTTATTATTTCATGTTGCCACTGGAGAGGAGTTGTGAATGGCAGTGAAGCAATGCAACTGTCACTGGTAGATCACAAGACAAGATATAGAACATACTTTTTAACGGTCACATACAACGTTGCCTCTATAAGCTGCGCACGTGCGCAGCCACGCACTTCATTCGTCGTGACCACTTAGAAGAAATAAAATGCCACGCACAGGACAGACACAAAAATAAGTTGGGAAAGTCATTTGATTAAATTCTAGTTAAGTGCGAAATAATTGCAATGCTCAGGCAAACCGCTATAGACTTAGGGTCGCTATAGAGTTAGAACCAGTGAATGTGGTTTACAGGTTACATAGAAAGAATGATGTGTGCCAAATCAGTCACTGTAGAAATTGAATACTTTAATGGTTGTGGACGAAAAGCTCAACTCGAGAGTCAACGCAAATGTAATGACGTGAAATAAAACGTCATCGTGTTTTAAAGAAGAGTGGCTTGTTTATATTTTATTTTATTCAACGCAAATGTAATGACGTGAAATAAAACGTCATCGTGTTTTAAAGAAGAGTGGCTTGATTATATTATATTATATTATATTATATTATATTATATTATATTATATTATATTATATTGTTGTAAAGAATTGAACTCCTCTGCATGAGATTTTTTAAATGATTTTTAAATAGATTTTCTTGGTATCACAGCACTATAAAAAATGTTTTCTCAGGTAACCTAAAATGTGCCTCATTTAGTTACATCAAGGGTCAAATCAAATATAAATAGCACATTACAGTTAAAATTTTAACACTGTTTTTGTGTGTGCTGCACAGGTCTGGTATAAAGAATATTTTTGCTCAGGTGGCCGAAATGTCCGTCCAATAGGGACATTTTTTGCTCAGCAAGAAAAAAATGAGAGGGAACATTGGTCACAGAGTAAGTATCAAACCAAATGTAAGTGCCTACTTCACAGTATGCGATTAGAAATTTGACACCGCAATAAGAACATATCTACATAAGCTAGTCAAATGCATTACATGATTACCTGTTGTCATGACCCATCCTTAGTTAGGAGATGAGTGTTTTTCTCAGCACACAATATTAAATGTATTAAAATACTTTTTTGTTCAAGTTAAAGCTGGAGTATTAAGTTTCTGCGCTACTAGTGTGACGGAACAACAAAAATAAAGAATGCGCATCACGCTTCGCCTAATTCAAACATCTTTTCCTTTTAAGTTTAGCTTACCTGTCAAGAATAAATTCTGCAAATTCGTTGTATCAATTGAAACCGATGGGTTACTTAACGTAAACCCAGGTGCTTTGAAAACAGAGTGACTTGTTTCACTATGGGGCATGACCAACTGCAGAAGCTCTTATGATACTACGTCTGTCTCTGACAGACAAGTCGACCTGTGACCAGGCTCCGCCCCACCTATATCAGCCAGGTTGACCCCTGCCAAAGTCATTATTTCCTCCCATACTGTGCAAGGAGGGAAGTGCTGGTAAAACACCTCACTCTGTTATCAAAGAACCCAGGTTTACGTTAAGTAACCCATCGTTCATCTTCTAACTCCGCTCGATGTTTCACTATGGGAGTACCACTCCTGGATTTCACACATATCGCTGCTATCACCCATAACAATTAAATGGACATAGGCCTACCGGCTCCCAGCACTGCATGTGCTAAGGATGGCACAGACACGTCCAGTCTATAGAATCACACACAGGTATATGGTGTAGCCCAACTTGCTGCTGAACAAATATCTTGAACAGAAACTCCCCTGAGTAAAGCCCACTATGTAGCCATACCCTTTGTGGAGTGGGCTCTCAAGCCCTTAGGCGGTTAAAGACCCTTGCAAACATAAGCTAAAGATGTATCTTCTATGATCCAATGACACAGCCAATGATGAGACAACAGCTTCTCTTTGTGAGGAGTAGCCCAAGACACAAACAGCTGGTCATGAGTCCTGAAACCTGTTGTTCTTTTCAAATACATATGAAGAGCCCGTAATGGACATAATGAATTAAATTCTGCTCCCCCGGAGAAGATTCAGTAGATGGGCACTGATACGAGTCAACTACCTTAGGCACAAAAGCAGGGTTAGGGCGAAAGGAAACCTTAATGAGCCCTGGAGCGAACTGCAAACAAGACGGGCTAACAGACCAAGCTTGTAAGTCACTCACATGCTTGGCTGTTACTAAAGCTATGAGCAGCACCGTCTTAAGAGAGAGATACTTAAGCCCACTTCCTTCTAAAGGCTCAAAAGGGTGATGAGAAAGGGCTTCTTGGATGATGGATAAATCCCATAAAGGAACCATCTGTCTGGACACCGACCGTTTACGGCATACCCCTTTCATAAAACGACTTATTAAAGGGTGCTGGCCTGCTAATTTTTCGCCAAAACGTACATGACAAGCTGAAATAGCTGCTAAATACACCTTTATATTGGAGAAAGCCTTTCCCTTATATAGAAAGTCTTGGAGAAAGCATAAAATGTCCCTCACTGAGCACTGAAAAGTGAACAAGGAGGGTTTTGCACTCTATAGTATGTATGACCGATGGAGGCAGACATGCCGCATTCAAATTCAATCTCTCATGGGCCAAGCCCAGAGAGCTATCCTGTCTGGGTGAAGATGGTAAATCCTCCCCTCCCCCGTCTGAGACAGGTGGTCCCTCCGTGGATGAAGGGGCCATGGCTGGCCTGACCACAGTTGAACTATCTTGGCCTCTTCGCCAACTGATGTAGTTGAAGGGAGCACATGCCCCCCTGATGATGTAAACAATATGTATGTGGAATTGTCTGTTTCACTAAAACATGCTGACCTTTGATGAAGCTCAGAAAATATTTCAGCGCAAACCACACTGCTAGCAACTCTAAATGATTTATATGTTTGTGAATCAGCTGCAGAGGCCACACGGCTTTCACAGCTCTGCCCATTAGAGTCACTCCCCAGTAGGCTTGCTTCGATAGTCAGTGTTGACGGTATTAAGCCGCAACACGGTTACGTCACTTGCCCACCGCGGCACCATCTACCACCGTCATTTAGATTTTTTATAGCCTAGTTATAAAAATCATTTAGTTCAGTTAGAGAACATATGCTACAATTAAAGATTAAGATTCAGTTTCGAAACAAAATGCAAAAGCGCCTGTTTGGCAATATTTTGGATTTTGAAAAGGCTGTTGACTTTTGCTGATAAGGTGAGTTTGTAAGCTTTTTTTAACATTTGTTTCTTATTTATTTGGTTCCGTTCCACAGTGTTTGGTGATTTTTACTGTATTTAAACTTTGTGTAATTTATTTCTTTTATTTTACATCAAGGTGTATGCCGTTACTCCAAGCTTTCTCAATCATTTTGCCACACCTTCTATGTCACTTATTTATTTAAACTTTTTGTAAGTTATTTATTTTATATTAAGCCTATAGCATGGTGTATTTTTATTCGGTTTGTTAACAAAAGTTCTATGTTTAATATAAATGAGTTGTCGTTGTTCTGTATTGTTGTATCCATTCAAGCAATTGACACCGAATTGACACTAATTCGAAAGTGAAAGTAAAATGCGCACAGGCATTTATAAGCTATTTTAAAGCGAAGGAAAGTGAGGAAAAGAGGGAAAACTCCAACGAACCCCACCCCTCGGTGATACCGGTATTACCGTTGTTGTCACACGTTGATTAACCTGTTGGAAAATTCCCTCACCGTCACAACCCTACTCACCAGCCCTTTAAGGACACGTCAGTTGTCATAGTAACTCTTGATGACACGAGAGCACAGATGTAACTGCGCAATCCAGTGCTGTAAATCCCTCATTTTGAGAAGCCCCAAATGTACTACAGAAATCACTGAAGCCATAAGACCCAACATTCGTAAGCACTGTCTGTATGGAACCACTTTCCCCATCTGAAAGTGGGCGAGACATTGTGTGAAAGACGCAATTCTCCCCTCTGTCAGTGTGACTCAATAAGAGAGGGAGTCTATGCTGAGCCCTTAGATATTCTGTTTGTTGAGAGGGCTCCAAACAGCTCTTTATCATGTTGATCCTGAACCCCAAATTGCTGAGATGATTTAACACCATCTCTGCGTCTTTCACTGCTTGCTCTCTTGACAACGAGCATATCAGATAATTGTCTATGTAAGACAATATTCTTATGCCCTTGTTCCTCAATGGGAACAGGGCTGCTTCCACACATTTGGTAAAAACCCTTAGGGCTAAAGATGGCTCAAATGGAATAGTTTGAAACTCGCAAGTTGTGCCTCGGTATGCAAATCTGAGGATTTTTCTCTGAGAGGGGTAAATGTATATGTGAAAATATGCATCTGACAAATCGATTTTCACAAACCAATTGTTCGGACGAATCGATCGACCATGCACTTTGTGTGTCAGCATTCTGAACGAATACTTTCGTAGGTGCTTGTTCAACACACAAGGTCCAAAATTGGACGAAGGGCTGTACCCCCTTTCTTTGGAATTACAAAATAACGGGAATAAAAGCCCTGACGGCTCTCCTCCTCGGGCACCACTCTGATCGCCTGTTTGTTTAAAAGAGTTTCGATTTCGGCCGTCAGTTTAATTCCCCCAAACTGAAACGTGTTTGAAAGCACCGTGCGAGTGCTTCTTGACAAAAGGGCCAGGGAATACCTGCGTGTCAGGTCGCACGCTTCTTCTTCCTCTCCTTGGGGTGGTGCGGACTGTTTTTAGCTGCCAAGGCCGCAAACGAATGCATTCCCCAAGGTCCAG